GATGTTGCCTGGCCTGCTGTGTTCATCCAGCTCTACACCTTGTAATCACTTTAGAGATAACATTACTGGTTTAGTAATAAGCTCTAAGCTCTAGGCTCAAACCTCACCTCAGCAGCCGGGAGAATTTAAATCCAATTTTATAAATCTGGAATTAAAATCACGTCTCACTGATGATTATCATAAAACTATCATCAATTATTATGAAAGCCCAACTAGTTCACTAATGTCTTTTTGGGAAGGAAATCTTACCTGGTCTGGCCTACATGTGACTTTAGATCCATGGCAACATGGTTGACTCTTAACTGGCCTCTGAAATGGCCTTAGCAAACCACTCAATTCAAGGGCAAATGGGAGGGGGGCGGGGGGGGGGGGGGGGCATCAAATGCTGGCCTTGCCAGTGACACCTCCATTACATGAAAGAAAGAAAAATTATTTTGTGCTTTTCACATTCTCAAGATGTTGCAAAGTACTTTACAGCCAATCTAACACTTTCTGAAATGTCATCAGGGTTGTAATTTTGGAAACATGGCAGCTAGTTGTGCACAGGAATGTCCCAAAAGTCATAAATCTGATAAAATGACCAGGTAAAATATTTTCTGATGTTGGTTGAACGTCTGCTAACAGAGTTCACCAATTCTGTGACCCTGGAAAAGGGTTAGAGAGCTGGTGGGAAGAGTGTTCGAAGGGAGGTGAGAGAAATTGGGGAAGGAAGGTTTGTGAGATAGGGTGGGGAATGGGAAGTGAGGTGGAAAATGTCTTAACTGCAGATTATTTTTACAGAATCAAATGCACCCGACGTTTTCACCAGGTTTTTATCTGCTAAAGGGGGAAAAAAAATTAGGCCTCAAAGGCCAAGCCCATCATGAGAAAAGAAAGTCAGGAATTAAAGGGGGTCTCACAATTCTTAACATTCAGTCTGAGCCTCAGGGTTGATGTGTCAAAGTTTATGATCACAAAATCTCATCTCATGGTTTGGGAAGCACTGTTCTACAATCAGAGTTCCTACAGTGTGGATGGAGGCTGTTTGGCCCATCAAGTCCATACCGACTCTCTGAAGAGCATCCCACCCAGATCCAGACCGCTACCCTATCCACATAACCCCACATTCCCATGGCTAATCCACCTAGCCTGCACATCCCTGGACTGTGGAAGGAAACCAGAGCAAACCCACACACACCCAGGGAGAACATGCAAACTCCACTCAGACAGACAGTCACCCGTGGCTGGAATCAAATGGGCGGCACAGTGGATCAATGGTTAGCACTGCTGCCTCAGAGCACCAGGGACCCGGGTTCAATTCCACCCTCGGGCGACTGTTTGTTTGGAGTTAGCACATTCTCCCTGTGTCTGCGTGGGTTTCCTCCGGGTGCTCCG